ATGGTACCTTTTGTCAGCTACAGTCACATTTAGCAAAAATATGTAAATTAGTTGGTCTGCATGTATATATATACTCAAGAGTACATAGGGGTTGATATACTGATACACTGATAATTTTACTACAATTGTACGTTGATCTACATTTTAATTGGTTAAAATTTTGCCAATTATTGTAATTTGTATTGAATTTACTATTTATCACTTAAATTAAATTTTCATTATAGTGCTGCATACTACATTTAAAAAAATCCAGTGCCAAAAAAATTGTAGCTAGATACCAAATATTATAATCATGTTTCATGACTGCACTTAGCTATTAATGAAGAAAGAAAAGAGTTATCAAGTGATAATGATGCATCACATACAGAATCATCATCTTTTGGGCCTCTAACATTATATAAACCACTTCCATCTGACTTTAAGGCAAAATTAGGTATGTGCATCATGTTCATACACAGTTTATATATACAAAAAACAATTTTGTTTTTATTACTTCTGTTTTGAAAATAACTTTTATAGATGAAAGTCATGTTCCTGTTATACTATCTGCCATTAAAGACTTAGTTGAAGAATGGAGTATTGTAGGAACCTTCCTTGGCATTGATAATGCTAATATAGAGAGGATCAAATCTAATAATAACACAGTTGATCATCGTCGCAAGGAAATGGTTTTTGCTTGGCTAAGATATGGCAATGCAACACGTCAGCAATTAATTGAAGCACTAAAGGAAGCTAACAGAAATGACATAGCCCACAAATTAAATAAGTTATAACAACTGTTTTTTTTTTTCATATTTTTAGAAGTTATTTGTGAATTGCCAGGTAGATTTTACATTTTGATTTATTAATTATCACAATAGTAAATACTGTCAATTCATCTTCAGCTTGACGCATAATCAAACATAGATCTACTTATAAATTTTATTGGCATGCAAAATTTTGATAAGACAAATAGTGTCATGTCTATCTATGGTCTGACACCCTACCACAGCTACAGTCAGGGGCGCTGGGGCCGGTCTGGGAACGAGACTAGGGTGGACCTGACCCTAGAAAAAAGGTAGCCATAGATAGGTAGACTAAAAGAACTTGAAGTTGAAGGTGCATAAATGTGTTCGGCATAGGTACATTACATTAGACTGTGTCTTGATTTTTGGTAGGAAGATATTTTAATACCACTGGTAGACGAAGCACCAGTGCAGGAGCAGAGAAGTTAGAACCATTCAACGTAGAAGCAGGTATGCATTACGGTGCATTTAAGGGTGAACCCCTGTTACTAGTCTCATTAATGTATGGGAGGGTTTGATTGAATGAATGAACCAAAATGTGGTTACTTATTATGAGTATATTGACATAAACATCTCAAACGTGACTCGGCATTATGGTACAATCATGGAATTTAATGGTGGGGCATGAGATGTGGCCA